ATCAAATCTCTATTAATACAGAGAACGTTCACAATATTTGTTATTCACACACTTCATCCTAGTTCAACTGTATGATGTTTCGAATGAACAACCACGCAAATCATAGATTGGAAATCGTGTGGTGTGCACAAGATAAATGAGATATGAGGAGCATATTTTTTCATCATAAGAAAATATGTGTTCGTCTCATTCGAAGCATTCTCCATCTTCTGGAGATTGTTTGATTATGCAATTGAGTTGCAGCTGTTTCCCATATCAGCCAGTATTCACACAGTGAAATGTTGTTAGGTACCCTCATCATATTGGTCAGCACCAAAAAATTAATTACTTCAGCATACCTTGTCGTTAGACGGAGATGTGAGAATACAATTGGCTTAACCTTCTCTCACTTAGTTCATATAATCGTTTTCGTTTCTCGTATATATTGACCGTGTGCCTCAGTTCGAATAAACGTGATTGTAGCAGTCGCATCTGATGTCACAAAACAATGAAAGTTTCAGCTACTTTTGTCCCCGGGTGGCAGTGGCGGTGGTGCTCTTTTAGCCCGAGTGACAAACATCTTTTGTCATTTTCGTCTGAATAGAAAAACAAGCTGAATGTGGTAAACGTCTTTCCCACTCACGGCATCCAACTACTGCACAAGAAATCGATAATACTCTCCGGCTTGGGGTTTGGTTGTCTTTCAAATAGTTCTTATCTCAATCGATGCCAGAAATTCAAGGTGTATATTTGAAATCGAATCGAGTGAAGCATTTGACCATCGTTTTGGTTTCTGCTGCTGCCGCTGCGGTTGTTTTTTTAGCGAAGCCAAGTCGTTGTTATCAAATAAAATCATATAGTCTGTATCTAATCGTGGTGTTGTGCAGAACTAAAGAACGGTTTTACCGATAACTTACACAAACACTGGTTTAGCCTTGAGTCTCTTCATGTAACCAATTGCACCATTTAGTTGTTTAGGCAAATAAGTGTGAATTGCATTGGGTCATTTAGCAAACATTTATTCAGTCTTTTGCATCCATTCGCATTCTACGACCTAATAGTTCTTTATCACTGCAATTTTAGTCATGTGGTGTCATTTCGACACGGAGATCCGATGTTCACATTCGAACGACGCTGATTATCAGTGTTTCACCTACCAGTCCTTAGATTGAACACTTCCTTTTCACTGAAAACAGCTCGTACAATTTACCTAATTTACCTAGAATATGCCAGGAACTATGTGAGTCCGATGTACCACCCCCTCCCTCCTCCGTTATCTTAATCTCAGTAATTCTCGTGTCCCGTCTTGGACGCATCATTCCTCTGATTTCCATATTGCGTAACTCGTTTGATCCACTTTAGTGGGCTTAAATTTCGATTCCGTTACCTTCCTAAATCCGGTCTTCTGACCTACCCTGTTCCCTGATTGGATGTTATGTAAACATTGTTAACTTTCTCTCCACCGCGTTTAATCGGTTTTCATTAAATAATTGCATCTCTGCTACTGTCTACTCTTTCATACTCTTGATGACCATAATCCTCTTCTTTCCTGTTCATTCATCCCTAAAAGACTTTGATAGTCACTCAACAACCAACATTTTTCCGCTTGAACCAATGCAATTATATACATGTCTATACATGGTATACTCTTTATGGCATTGCAACCTAGTTAATTAGCGTGGACAGCTGATTTAAAGTACGCAAACCTGATCTCCAATACCAACTCCGATTATTGTGTTACTTTATTTATTCAAATGAATTGAAAGCAAGAGATATTTCCCATATATCAAAAAATGAGCCATGTTTCTTTAAATATGCGACATGCGCAAAATAGATTTAGTGCAACAAACATGTTTGATTGTACGGCTATAGCCATCTGCAGAGATCAGGAACGCTGAATAATTACAGAAATAATGAAATCCAAGATTTGGTGATTTTATGTGACTGAAACCTAAAAGCACCCTTTAGGAATTCCAACGAATCCCGAACATGTTAACTCTGAGATTAAGAAAAACCGCTCTGTGTCAAGTTTGCTGTCTTAATTGTAAATCTGTTTTTGCAGTTGATATCATATCATGTCGCTTATGTTTTCGATGACTATACATGTCCTAAGTACAGAGAGTATTCGTTCGACTTGACATAACATGCGTAATGAGTCAAAAGCAAGGGGGAAAGGATACAACTACGAACACTGATATATCAATGAAACAAAATTTGATTGGAGCAAGCGATAATTTTCCAAAAATGTATCAAAAATGCTACTCACTTGTTGTTTTGATCAGCAAATTCCGGTTGAACCGTCTCCGCTTCTTTTCCACTTGTCCTCATCACAGGTTGCTCGTGAGCGAATGAGTAGACTGCATTCTAAATAACAAAATACACCAGCATATTGACTAACTAAAATAAGGAAAGCGGTCAATTAAAAGCCCCCATATGATACGAATAAATTTGACAAGCTACGTGGATGTTAAGGGGCTCGAACCCAAGAACGCGTGTTGGTGGTGGGGGGGAGGAAGAAGGNAAGAAGGTGAGCAACATCACCGCCTGTTGTTCCAGTGGAGATCAGTTTGCTTTGCTGATTCCGTGTCCACAATCATAGATCAGTCCTTTGAATCAACATTAGGTCCCGTAATTAATTCTAATCAGGTCTCAAACAATGCCGACACTCAAGGAATGTATGATTTGAAAAGGGCAAACCAATATCGACCCTCACAGCTGCAATATGCGACAATGTGAGTTATAAAGCATAAATGACATGAGTACACTGGGTGGAATCAGCCAAAGTTTGCATAGTATTAGTAGAACAAAATGGTAATAATCAGTAAGCAGATTAAAAACAACTGTCCGATCTCTCTGTCTTTTACGGATATGAATAATTCATCAATTATTCCTCCCAACAACAATAGTAACACTCTGTCATAATCATATTATCATTTCCATAAATGGCAGCTCTACGATATAAACACCAATCTTTGCTAACTTACTACATCCTCGATTTATTTTGATAGAAACAGAAAAATAACTAACTAAAAATGACCATATTTTTTTCGATTCTATTGTTGATGGAAGCATAAAAACGCCGAGAAATCATCGGCTTGTTTTACTGCACCCATCAACCAATTTATGCGCATCCACTGTGTACCACGGGGGAAACAGGTGATATGATATTGATTGTGCTACGTTTGGGATGTCAGTGCTGGGAGTTCAGTCATCCACGTGCATAAAGGCGCTGCTGAGTTGATTTCACTCAAAAAATAATCCGCATCGACCTCTGAGTGATCTTTTCAATCCCCGGCCCCGAACGGCTCCAGTTGGTAATAGTGTGATGAGTATCGTGTTTCAATGGGAATATTTGTAGCTTATAATCGCATTATTTTTTCTTTTTTCAAATTGTGCATGGTTTGGTCTTATTGAGTGTATGGATCACTTTTCTGTTCCCCAATGTGTAACACTTATATGCGCACGGCTGTTTGTTGTCAGGTCATATTAAACCTTTAGAAGGACAAGGATGATAACTGCAATAATTGGCTAATGCTTGATTGTTGAAGCCACGCACGAAACTGAATACTCGGCAATACCCAAACATTGCATGTTTACGACTCAACAAAGGTACCATTCCAAAGGTGGACTGTTGAATCACTCACTGGATCCGACAAATAATAGAGTTGCAGTACACATACAGGATGCTTAAATAAACTCAAAACTGACACCTTTAAACAGTGAACTGAACAACTTACTATACTGAAATTTATTGATGCCAAATAATGCGGGGATGAGTTCAGCGCAAGACTAATATGGCTTAGTTCAAATTTTGTTGAAAGTTATTTTGTTCAAGTAAAAGCATTAAAACATGTTCAGATGATCATCACCATGACAACCAATAGAAACGAAGTCAAATGTTCTTGCTGCTAACGTAAAACAGCGGGGCATATCGTCGCAGTGCAACATACATATATATAAGTATAAACATATACATGCATACATATATAAGGCATAGTGAAGGAAACGGTAGTCTTTGGATCGCCTCTGAGCCGGTCATAGTATCATGGGCTACTCGCCTTATCTCACCCATTGATCATGTCAGTTTCAAACCACATGACTGGATAACTTTGTAATTCAAAGCGGTTATCAAACAAGGTTAAAACTTACGGGGCTCTATTTGCCCAGAAACGTCTCAGCTCGGTTCAGGAAAACTTAAAATAAAGCCTGTCAGATAACAAAGATCACCACAAATTTTACGACTGCTCAAAAGCCCAAATGTATACATTTATTCATAGCTCAGAGAATAGTTTCATACATCGAATTAGTGGTGGATTAGATTGCATCCTGTGCTGAATTCCGTCGGGTACAGAGCAAACCAAGCGCTAGTTAAAGATACAGAAAGCACTTTACAGCGGTCTCTACATGATTGGGTTACATCAGCAGTGGGAATCTATCGACCCAGCAGATTCTCGACTCGGGACCTCACCACCTGATCACCGAGCAGCTGACCAAAATGATTTGCCTTCGTCTACACACGATATAATACAACTCATATTTACGGGCTTGTTGTGGGTATCAATGGTAATAAATGGCAACACTTTAGAGTTTAGGTGTTCACTGTCCTAAACAATGCGTAATTTTCTGCTCCGATTGGGACCTTTAGGCCATCCACACTGAAGTCCATTATGACTTCGATTAAAACTCACAGGTCTGTATAAAACAAATCTAGGGTGAGCGTTCCGTGACAGTTCAGTGGAGAATTTGAGTGTTGTGTTTGAAGAGAAAGAACCAAATCTTATCCGAATCATCAGTTTACATTGTCATCTTTCGATGTGCACTCAATGGTACATTTTACTTTGTTACAGTATCGTATAACCGCGTTCAACCAATAGCGAATGGGGGCTTCCTGTCTTGGTTACGCACATACTGTCTCTGAAAACTGATTGAAACCAAACAGGTCATGTTTTGAAAATCATTTACACGTATGGGTGTGGTAGTGTGCTTGTGAGGAAATCCTTTCAGTGATTTCCAACACTCACCTTTGACCCACTTCCCACGTGTGGCAAAATGGCACAAGAAAACTCAGTAACCGAGTGAGTGCAGTTGTGTCCTGCACGTTCGTTCAAGCAGCTATTCACCAAGTTCTCATAGTCCAGCTTGGCTATACAATTTGGGTTTGAAGTGCACCATCGGTCATAGGCGGTCTCCAGTTGTTCGGAATCTGCCCGTAAACGACTCATACGTTGTTTGCTCTCGTTCAACTTGTCCATCCAATGATCCAGTCTTGTGGTAGGGTCGACTAAATCAGGTTCGGAAAACCGCAGGTAGTTTCTCACATATCTGAGCACTACATAGCTGAATTATTTATTTTGCAAAAAAAACAAACCAAGATGACCGCCATGCGTTTGACATCCTTAATCATACAACTCAGAGAGAGTACTCAACAGGAGTATAGATGAAGGGATATCACTTAAATAGGCACCAAGTTACCAATAATTGAATACAGTTTACAACAGTTTTTCGAAGCGAATCCACGCCAAACAAAACACAAAACGTGACAGAATCATAGCCACATAACCAATTAACCCTCTCTAATGAAACCAAATAAATAGATTATCGCCAAAAGAAAACAAACATTATACCTGAATCGGAATCATCCGCGTATTAGACAACAAAAGAAAGCATAAAACAGCTAGAATGTCCTCGCTCGGTCTGTCCACGGTGTTCTATCTAAGTACGCGCTTCCACTGAACTACAGATGAGTCAGATCCAAAAAGAGATATAATGCATGTATCCTAGGGTTTTATAATTCGCGCAAAAGATGTCAGAATAAAACTGTACAGGAAATTAGCATTTATATTCTATTGTTTCTCCAATCTTGCCCTAACGAATGTTTCATCAATAACCCTTTGAATGGATTGCAGCGTTTTAAAGCATTCATTAAAGCATTAATTCACCGAAAACATATGTTCGCCTACACTGTGTTCGTTTAAAGCATAATGCACATTTTATATGTGAGGGTAAGTATTTTAAGTATTTTAGGAATGTAAAGCATTGGTAAATTTTAGTAAGTAGGTTGTATCGTGGAACTTGGCACAGTTGTGTGTTCTTCGTGAACTCATTAATTCCTGACGCCCCAAAAAATAATTTTGAGCAGTATATTGTAGTACTTTCAATGGTAACTGTGTCGATACTTTGTGCGCCGAACAGACAGCTTGTTTCAGAAAGCCGAAAACTCTATCGTGCCCTTCTATCCCGGGGCTAACGAAGATCGGATATGTGATTGAACTTTTCAATTTCCAGTCATTAGTTTACGAACCCCGTGGAGTGAAGTGCAATCTCGCATCAAATGTATCTTCAAATAGGCCCTGCATTCTTCAGCTGCCCATCCCATCTCCATGTCTCTATCCCGTGCCATCACCAACAAAAATGGAAGACATAATCATAAAGCCGTGGTGACAGTTGCTTTCCACTTGCACCTGTTGTATTATGTTTCCCGCCACGGATAACTTCGTTTATTTCTCAAAATCATCACCAAACATTTACCGTCAGTAGTTGGCACGGGATTGGTATTTTCCAACTTAGCTGACACGCTCAAAAAATCCCGCTGCGATTGATTTGCTCGGGGGATCTGTTCATACGCGGATTTTCTTTCTTCCATAATTGGGGATTCAATAGAAATTTCATTTCCGGCCAGCGTCAAGTGTTTGACCAAACGTTGCATTTGATTTTTCTACAACACAATCGTAAGAGAACATTTTTGTAGATAAAAAAATGTTTTTCTTTTAAATTTATAAACTTTGAGTGACCAAAAGCGAATCTCTCCTGCGGGCATTTATAGCTAGTCTGAAAATATATTTACAATTGATGAAGATCAGCGAGAAAGTTCAACTGCACAAATCACTCCAACGGTTGAGGTGATTGTTTAGCTGTAACGATCAGTATAGTAAACTGGATACGAAAATTGCATATTGAATTGTGGATTTGCAACGTGAAACAATAATACATATACTTTCAAGGCATTTTAAGAATCTATGTGTTGACATAAATCAACTGCTTTCACGAAACACTTGATAAAATGTCAAACTGTTCGCCGCTTATATCAAGTGATATTGAAAATAATCTGTTGACCAATTTGCACTTAGTTTTGATCATTTTATTTTGAATCAGTGGTACCGTATGGGGTTCAGGTTGCCATCGCACCTGGTTGGACAGTGTGTTTCAATATCTCTCAACTTTCTCGCTCAATTTTAGATCATGGTAACCAACTAGCTGATTTGCCGTCATGGATTCCTTGAAAAAAAAATAGAAAGATTGAAAATTAAATTCCACAGTAATTCTCATTGGAGGAGCTACCTACGGTCACTAGCGTAGACGTTCTAGTAATTAGAAACAAAGTTAAAGAAAACATCACAACATCACGTAAACCAGCCCAACCCAGAAAGGAATACAATAAAACAATAACCCGTGCGATTGTGGCCAACCGTGTTGAGACCGGGCACCAGCTAGACAACAATGCTTTCAAATTCATTTACAAGATGCCCAACAACAACAACAACAATTCGACGTAGATTCGGTAGAAGCGGTAACAAAATCCTGAACCCACCGCTATAGAAATAGAAGAAAATGATTTCCGCACTGAAATTACCTTACCCCGACCAACGTCCGTGACGAACCGATTCAGGACCGCATTGATGATGACGCAAAATGGTGTAATCCACCGCATGCGATTAAAGGTCATCGTAAACTTCCTGAATTGACCTTAGTCCCCCTTTCCCCTTCTCCGTGTGCACTGTAGAACTTGAAAGATTGTAGTTCTCCCTCGTTTAACTTAATGAGCCAATGATGCTTATTTTTATCTTACATATAAACACCCGTAGATGCCCAAAGACGAAGCTGTGAAAACCTGCATGTAGACTATATTCTTTGTCTTGTAGTATTCTTATAAAAATCTAATGGAAGTCACTCTGGAGAAAAAGAAACTGCCTGATAAAACGTTCTACCAGTTTAAATTGCGCATGATACCACGCAAAATTGCAGAACGATAGTAAAGTACACTACTTCTGACTAAAAAGAACATTTTTGAAGGCAGCGCAGTAGTACCTGATAATAAAGATAATAATTTTTATAAACGCTTGATTGAGTGATAGCCACAACAATTATTATTCGAAATGTGAAGTACAAAATTAAACTTAGACCTTGCAACAGAGACCAACCAAAAAAATCTGAGTGAAATTCCCAGAAATGGATTTCACTAATAAGTGAATTTCGGCCGCAGGGTTACCGAAAATTGTGAATGGTTGTGGTCAATAATCAGTCCTGTTGTGGGTCAGCATCGTCTCAACCCGGGTACCCAAATTTCACTCCGGTCACTTAATAGTCCCGTCTGACTGGGCTTTTTCGCAGCGTTTGCTCAGCTGCACGGCAGAAATAGCTGTTCATTTAATGAGACTGGTCTCTTTGTTTACTTTTGAGATTAAAGGAAAGATTTTTTCACGGTGAAGTCGGTACAGCTCCACAATCAAATCTTTTTGTGCACGGAGATCGAGATGTGTGACAGAGTGCTCGTCAAAAGAAACTACAGTGAACCCACTTTCAGGAATCGCCCGACTAGTAGGTGTAGACAAAGAGTCACACCACCTGATCCGTGTATGGCACGAAAGACACCACCGATTTCGATGGGTAAATTTTATTTACATACGTAGATAGTCTTGGTATTGAACTTTATAAAACTCCTTTATTGTTAACCCACGAGCACCGGTAGGTTAGAATAGCATGCGGCTCATGCGTGTGGCTCTTCCCAAACCATTCACTTAGTGCATGCGTGATAAAAGCGACTAATTGTTCGCACAATTGAATGACCCAAGCAAATGCTCCAGTAATTCACCGCTCGACCAGTCCTCCTGTGTTTAAAGGTGGTTTTTGATGCGTCCGCTCACAATGG